GCTTGACCTAGAGTGGTGAACACACAATACAATATACAGATGACATATTATTATAGAACTGCACACCTGAAACTTACATAATAACATTTTATTAGCCAATGTTGCCCCGATACATTCAATAAAAAATAAAAAAATGGGAAAATGTTAAATATCTTAGAAATATCATAAGAAAAATCAGGATTATAAGAAATGATTCAAAACAAATCACCTAATTTCTTCAAACACAATAGAAAATGCAAGGGAAAAAGAAGGGGAACCTATAGATCAAATATTATGTAAGACAAAAGTCAATCAATTCCAATAGACCTTATACAAATTCTGATTTCAAAAAAAAATTTGTAGGAATTGAAGAAATTTGAGAATACTGGTTGATATGTGATGATACTAAGAAATTACTGTTAAGTGCTTTTAAGTTTTATGTGATTTTTTAAAAAGTTTTTATCTTTTGAAGATACATACTAAATATTTATGGGTTAAATACTATATTTGGGATTTGCTTCAAAACAAATAGTGCAGAGGGTTGAGGGTGGGTAGAGGATAGGTGAGGTCTAATGAAAGACTGGCTGTGAATTAATGATAACTGTTTAGGTAGGGTGATGGGAGCTCATTATTCTTTTGTCTCTACTCTTGCATGTATTTGTGAATTGCCATAATAAAATAAGTGCTATATATTACATATGTAAAGAATATTTCTCAAAGCAATCCAAGTCATTGGTAACGGTGATTGTCTTTAGGAAGGAGAACTGGGTCAGGGCCGGGGGGAGGGGGTCAAGACTTACTTTTACTAGAGAACCAACTGTATGGGAAAACATATTTGCCAATGACACCTCAGACAAGGGTCTAATCTCCAAAATATATAGAGAACTTACACGACTGTACTCTAAGAAGACAAGGAATCCAATTAAAAAGTGGGCAAAGGACTTGAACAGACACTTCTCCAAGGAGGACATACAGAATATCCAAAGACACATGAAACGATGTTCAATATCGCTAGCTATCAGAGAGATGCAAATTAAAACCACAATGAGATACCACTTCACACCAGACAGAATGGCCATCATAAACAAAGCAACAAACAACAAGTGTTGGAGAGGTTGTGGAGAAAAGGGGACCCTAGTGCACTGTTGGTGGGACTGCAGACTGGTACAACCACTATGGAAAGCAATATGGAACTTCCTCAGAAAACTAAAAATGGATCTGCCTTTTGACCCTGCAATTCCACTGCTGGGACTCTATCCTAAGAATACTAAAACACCAATTCAAAAGAACCTATGCATCCCAATGTTCATAGCAGCACAATTTACAATAGCTAGATGCTGGAAGCAACCAAGATGCCCATCAGTAAATGAATGGATCAAAAAAACTATGGTACATTTACACGATGGAAATTCTATGCAGCAGAAAGAAAGAAGGAGCTCCTACCCTTTGCAACAGCGTGGATGGAGCTGGAAAACATTATGCTAAGCAAAACAAGCCAGGCAGTGAAAGACAAATACCATATGATCTCACCTTTAACAGGAACCTAAATAACAAAACAAAGAAACAAGCAAAATGTAACCAAAGACACTGAAATAGAGGACAGGCTGATGGTGACCGGAGGGGAGAGAAGAGGGAATTTAAGGGGACAGTGGGAAGGGTTCACAGGAACAAACTTAAAGGACACATGGTCATAGACTAAAGGGGAGGGTGGTAATGAGAGGGAAGTGGGGAGGGTGGGAGGGGGGACTGGATTGGGAGTAAAAAGGAAAAAACTGTATATGAACAATGATTAATAAAAAAAAATATTTTGTTGATTTAAAAAAATAAATAAAATGTCAATGACAGGGATAAAAAAACTCTCTAATAAAAATTTAATTTCATTTAAAAAAAAGACTTACTTTTACTGTGCAATTATTATAGTAAATATATCGTAATTTAATTAAATTATTTTAAAAAGCAAAAAATATATAATTACATATTTTTCCTGCCAAATAATTATTATCAGCCTATGAATATGCTCAGGTACATAGACTCTTTAAAACCTTGTTCTTGCCCTGGCTGGCGTAGCTCAGTGGATTAAGCATGGGCGGCGAACCAAAGTGTCGCAGGTTCAATTCCCAGCCAGGGCATATGCCTGGGTTGCAGGCCATGACCCCCAGTAACCGCACATTGATGTTTCTCTCTCTCTCTCTCTCTCTCTCTCTCTCTCTCTCTCTCTCTCCCTTCCCTCTTTAAAAATAAATAAAATCTTTAAAACAAACAAAAACAAAAACAAACCTTGTTCTTGATCTCACATCATATCCTCCAGCTGACAATCCACTTCTGTAGTCTCCTTATAACCAAATTTCTCAACAAAGTTTCTTACCTTCACTATCTCTTCTTCCTCACATACCATTCCCTTTTTGTACTACTCCAGTTTGGCTTCTCTCCTCCCCTCTCTCCCCAAACACCCTAGTCAAAGTCCCCAGAGAGCTCCACGTTACAAATCTAACAGACACTTCTCTACATTTAACTTGCTCAGCTTGTTAGTAGCATTTGGCACAAGTGACCATCACTTCCCTGATACACTACCCACTCTTAAATTCCAAGACGCCACACTCCTCCTCCTCTATTTAACTTGTAAACATTGAAACACTCCAAGGCTGACTCTTAAGCCTCTTATATTCTCCATCCACATTCTCTAGTTAGGCAAGTTTATCCCGTCCCTGAGGTTTTAAATATCACCTGTTTGCTAATGTCGCCAAAATGTATATCTCTAACCCTGACCTCTCCTCTGAGACCCAAACTCATATATCTAACTGCTGAAATAAAATCTCACAGTTGAATGTCTAACAGATATTTTAAAATGCTCACAACAGCGCTCTCAATTCCCTTTTACCAAACCTATCTTTCTCATAGTCTTCACTCTCTTGCCTTCAATAAATACAACTATCCACCCAGCAATATCTCAAGACTAAATGTTATCTTTGAATTTTCCTTTTCCTAATCTCCCACATTCAATTTCTTTGTAATTCCCATCCTGTCTGTGCACAAAACACACCTTGACTCCTCCAGGCACTTCTTTCTATCTCCAGTCACCCTCCTAATACAGTAAGCCGTTCATTATCTCTTATCTGGACTACTGTAACAGGCTTCTCATGAATAAGAGTAATAGTCTTTTAAATGAGTACTAGATCAGGTCACATCCCTGCCTAAAAATGCTGTCATGGAAATTGATGAGCTGATTCTAAAATTGTCAGAAGAAAATAAAGGTCCAAGAATAGCTCAGACAATTTTGAAGGATGAAGAGGAGGTAAATGGAGAAAGGTAAGGGGAGGAACACTGATGACTTTACCAGCTATCAAAACTTACTGTTGGTTACCACTAACAAATATACAAATTCTAGGGAAACTGGCTATCAACATAAAATGATACAATTATATGATATTATACATTACATATAAAAATAAACTCCACATAGATTAGACTTAATGTGAAAAACAAAGCTGCGTAATTTTTAGAAAAAAATATGGGATCCTATCACATCAGTATTGTTGGAATTGTCAGAATGAGCACAATTTTGTTACTCAAAAGCCTGTTATGAAAACAAGCAAGCAAATGAAAACAAGCAAAAATAAATCTGCCACATATTGTTCTGGCTGGAGAATGGGAGGGGTATGTGCCACCCCCTGCCCCACACACCTACCCCAACCCCTTACCAAATCAAACGGAGTCAACATACATTTTTTAAAAGGCAAGAAACATGCAAAACTGTATAAGCCAGTAAAGATTTTCTTAACTAACTTGTAAAATAGGGAAGTTCAAAGTAATTTGGAAAAGAAAAAATAATAAACCTGAGATATAGACATCGATCTATCTGCACAACAAACCATTATCTTTGGTCGGGGGTAGGGGAAGATTTCAAGAGAAAGGAAGATCAATATCCTTATTCACTCATATAATGTTTGACTGTTACTAACATGCACTAATTTTGATAAACTTTAAATAACAATGTTTAAACAAAATAAAACCAAGGTATTTCATATCCCACAGGTCAAAAGTACTAGAAGCAAGAAAGGCAACTTTTTGTTATGATTAGAGCACAAGTTGTGGAATCACAGTCCCGGGTTAATAAGCTCTGGCTGCATCACTTTGGGCTCCGTGACTTTGGGCAAGAGTTTAAACCTAATTTTACTCATCTGTGAAATGGGACCAATGACAGCGTCTGCCTCATGCGCCTTTCGGGGGGGAGGGATTAAATAATGCAAGAAAAGCACTCAACACAGGGCCTGGCATTAACGATACAGTGAATTCAGGGAGGGTAAAAGTTGAATTAGGAACGCTAGTAACTGACCCAACATTTCTACTCCTTAGAAACTCAGAGAGCAAGCTGTGGGAGTCAGACCCCAGGTCAAAGATCGGGTCAGGCGTCACTCAGCCAGTTTTATCTCCAGGACCAAGTCAGGGCTGAGGCCTTGACCTAGGCACTAGTCTGACAAATCAGATGCTTTTGCCCTCACATCCGGCCCCTTTCTGAGTCTCTCTTAAAAGGAGGCTACACATCCGGAGTGACCAAAGAAATGGCCAAATTCTTGAGGCGGAGACTGGACGGAGAACATTTCACCCAAACCAGTCCCATCGGGTCGGAAGTTTCAGAAACGGCCAAAATGAACTGCCTTCGTGCCTCCTCAGTAGCACCCCGACCTCAAACACCCTCCTCAGCGTCTTCCTCCTCCCGCCAACAGCCCTCTTGGGGCTCAGTTTCCTTCCACCAGTTCAGACACTGTCTAGATCTGTGGTCCGGCCGCAGGGTCCCATTAATCTTGTTTCTCTGCTCAATTTCTCATCCTCCGCCCCAGACTCCCCGGTCCCTTCGGCTCCTTCACCTGCACCTGGGTGTAACCATTAGGCCTCAGCAACCTCTCTTCCGCCTCCGGGACCGCTCCTCCACCGCCTTCCCCCACGTCTACCTCAGGTGCCCCGGCCTCCGCCTCAGTTTCCCCCCCTCAGCCTCAGACCCTAGGCTCCAGGCCTGGCCCTACCGGGCTGCTCCAGACTCAGCGCCCCCAGGCGGCGAATGCCCTCCTCGTCCAGTTCCCACTGCTCCGCCATCCCTGCCCGCCCGGCCGCCCCGCAGCGCCGCTCCACTCCACTGCGCTCACCTGTAGCGATCCGCGAGGCCGCCCTGCGCGCGCCAGGCCCCGCCCCGCGCCATCAGGCCCTGCCCCCGGCCCCGCCCCCCCCGCGCGCCGGTGGGCCGTTATTGCCACGGTCACCCGCCTGCCCGCCCGCCCGCCCGCCTGCCCGCCGCAGGAGTCCGAACCATGGTATGGAGCCCGTCCTGCTGGGGGCGCCAAAAACCACTAAAACGGCGAATTGGGGCGGAATGGGGGTGATGTGATAGAGGATTATGGCTCTAGGATTAGGTTACTGGCTCTGGGACAGGAGGGGATATGGCCCCAGTTTTGAAGGGCCTGGGTGCTGGGTCCGAGGAATTGTAGGACTGCTCCTGCTTTGAGGGATGAAGTGTTCTATCTTTGAAGATTTGGGGGATTCCAGGTCTGATGAGTGGGCGTGTGCCTCTTGACAGAGCGAAGGTCTTTTTATCTCAGCTCTTGTGTCTATTGACTCTGAGGCAAGGCGGTGCATGGGCGGGCAAAGGAGGGAGGAGGGGATCCAGACCTGAAGGATTGGGAGGCAGCCCTCTGAAGCATGATGGGAAACCTTGGGGGACTTGGCTCTGAGAAGTTGTCCTATTTTTAAGAGCATAAGGTCGCTCTAACTTTAGAAATTGATTTTGGGGAGAAGGATCTGTGGAAAAGAGATGGTGCTCTTTGGGTTGGGATGGGGATGTCTATACTAGAGCTAGTGCATTCCCTCCAGTCAGTCCACCAAGTACTACAAGTCCCCAAGTTTGCCATTGATTAAGGGCTCTCCCCCGACTAAGGATAGTTCTGCACCAACCAGCCCCTGAGCAGTCTTGGGGACGAAAACGCTGGAAAGAACAGCCACATACTTAACCCCTACCCTCACTACAGTAGGTACCTCTTGAGACCCCTCCTGTGGATGGGACATGTATGTGTAAGAAGGAGGCAAACTCTTAAGCCAAGAACTTATTGTCATACGTTATCCTTAAAGAGAAAAGAAGAACCACAACCAAAACTGTGGCTCACCTTCAAGAAGCAGGTTTTCTTCAGCATCCAAAATCACAGTCAAAGCTCATTTCACTGAGCTCTCTGTCAGCTAGTCACCTTTAAGAACAGAAAGCAAAAATCCAGAGTCCTTGCGTATTTATGGTTTCCCGTCTAGGTAGGGCCCTTAGTTACTCTCAACTTGTCATGTTCAGTCTTACCCATATTTACAAAGGCTAGGACTCCAAAGCCTGGGTTAGCCCATTAAGATTAGCTTTTCCAGCTCTGCTTCTGTGAGTCGTGACACTATTTTTCAATGTATAATATTTCTCTTCATGCCCCCTTTAACTCTTCTAGCTGCAAATGTGGCATATATAATTGCTCTTTTTTATATCTGAATATTGAGACCAGGTTTATTATAAAAGAACCCCGTCCCCTTTTTGTTGCATGCATTTATTTTCCTTCCTCAGCTGTCGAAAAAGATGTGGGATTTTATTGGAGAAATAGGCTTTTCCTCTCTTTGTCAACCACTTCTTACTTTAACACTTTTCTCCCCACCAACACTTTAATGCAAATTTTTAAACATTCAGAAAGGTTGCATGAGTTGTATAGTCAGCATTATACATCCATCACCTAGATTCTACAGTGAACATGTTGCTATATTTATCACATGTTCATCTATCTATCCCTCTATCGATCCATCTTCCTTTTGATGCATTTCAGAATGAGTTACAATATCAGTACATTGTACACCAATCACTTCAGCATGCATAATTTTACCTAGAATTTAATATTGTTTTATGATTCTTTCTTAGGTAAAATTTTATACATTATGTATCAGTCTTTAGGTTTTTTGTAAGAGTAGTGCTTATTTTAAAATCTGATATAGATGGTGTGTATATTTTATGGATTTCTACTTTTTAATATATATTTTACTGATTATTCTATTAAAATATGGAACACTGCATGAATTTGCATGTCATCCTTGTGCATGGGCATTGCTAATCTTCTCTGTATCATTCCATTGTTAGTATATATGCTGCTGAAGTGAGCATGGCTTTCTACTTTTTTATAGTGTTGATAAACTAAGTCATCTTGAAACAAAATAGACAATTCATTTATGAACAGATAACCTTGAACTTTAAACAATGAGCTGGAAGTTTAGGGATCTTTGCTTCCTTTAACCCATAGAATTCAGCTGTCCTGCCATACCCCTGATAAGGTGATGTCTCTGCAAGTATAATCCCAAGAGAGCCCTGCACGTGCTCAGTGGGGTAGGGAATGCCTCATCATAATTATCTCCTTTTAAAACAGCTTTATTATGAAATAATTCACATACCATACAATTTACCATTTTAAAGTGTACAATTCAATGGTTTTTAGTAGGTTTACAGAGTTGTGCAACTACCACCACAATCAATTTTAGAACATTTGCATGATCCCCAAAAGAAGTTCCATACCTATCACTGGTCACCCCTTATTCTTCCCCCACCTCTCTCACCCTAGGCAACCACTAATCTACAACCTATCTTTATAAATTTGCCTATCATGCATATTACCTATAGATGGAATCATTTAATTTGTGGTCTTTTGTGCCTGGCTTCTTAACATGAGTCAAGGTTTCATCCATGTTGCAGCATGTATCAGTACTTTACTCTTTTTTATTGATTACATTTTGTTTAGTCATTCATCAGCTGATGAACATTTTGGTTGTTTCTACTTTTTTTTTTTAATCCTAACCCAAGGATATGTTTACTGATTTTAGAGACAGAGGAAAGGAAAAAGAGCTAGAGTAACATTGATGTAAGAGAGAAACATCAATCGGTTGTCTCCCACATGTGCCCTGGCTGGGTATCAAACCCACAACTTAGGTATGTGCCCTGACCAGGAATTGAACCAAGACCTTTTGGTGAATGGGATGACACTCCAACCAAGGGAGCCACCCAGCCAGGGCTGTTTCTACTTTTTAGCTGTTATGAATAATATTTCTGTGAACACTTGTTGGCAAGTTTTTGTATAGACACACATTTTCATTTCTCTTGAGTTTATAACTAAAAGTAGAATTGTTGGGCCATATACTAACTCCATGTTTAACATTTTGAGAAACCTCCGAACTGTTTTCCAGAGCAGCTGCACCATTTTACACTCCCACCAGGAGTGTATAAGAGTTCCAATTTCTCCAGTCTTTGTTAACACTGGTTATTATCTCTCTCTCTGATTCAGGCCATCCTAGTGGGTGTGAAGGGTTTTCTCACTGTGAGTTCTGTGCATTTCCCTGATGGCTAATGATAAGTGTCTTTGTGTGTAATATTGGCCATTTATGTATCTTTTTTTGGAGAAGTGTCTATTTAAATTCTTTACCCACTTTTAAATTTGGTTATTTGTCTTTTTAATTATTGAGTTGTAAGAGTTCTTTATATAGCTTAAACACAAGTTCGTCATCAGATTTACAAATATTTTATTTTATTCTGTGGGTTGTGTTTTTACTTTCTTGATGGTGTCCTTTGAAACATCAGAGTTTTTAATTTTTTAACTTTATTTTATTTTATTTTATTTTATTTTATTTATCCTCACCCGAGGACATTTTTTCATTGCTTTTAGAGAGAGAGGAAGGGAGAGAGAAACATCGATGTGAGAGGAACAGCAGTTGGTTGCCTCCCCCATGCACCCGGACTGGGGATTGTATGCACCTGGACCAAGGATCGAACCTGCAACCTAGGCTTGTGCCCTGACTGGGAATCTAGCCTGCAACCCTTCGGTTACAGGATGATGCTCCAACCAACTGAGCCACACCAGCGAGGGCAAAAAGTTTTTAATTGTGATGAAGTTTTATTTAACTTGTTTGTTTCAATTCTGCTTTTGATACTTTATCTAAAAGGCATTGCATAATCCAAGTTCATGAAGATTTTTTTCTTCTAAGCATTTTATCTTTTTAGTTCTTATATTTAAGATTATGATCCATTTGGTGTTAATTTTTGTGTATGGTGTGAGGTAAGGGTCCAAAATACTTTTTTTTTTCGCATGTCAGTGTTCAGTTGTACCAGCACCATTTTTTTTTTTTTGAAAAGGCTGTTCTTTGAATTGAGTTGTCTTGGCTCCCTTGTCAAAATTCAATTAACCATAAATGTGAAGGTTTATTTCTGGTCTCTCAATTCTATTCCACTTATTCATATGTCTCTTCTTATACCGGTAACACACCATCTTCATTACTGTAGCTTTGTAGTAAGTTTTGAAAGCGGAAAATGTGAATCCTCAAATTTTGTTCTCCTTTTCAAGATTGTTTTGACTATTCTGGGTCCCTTGTATTTCCCTATGAATTTTAATATCAGCTTGTCAATTTTTTTCAAATAAAGACAGTTGGAATTTTCTTAGGGGTTGTATTCAATCTGTAGATCAATTTGGAAGTATTGCCATCTTAACAATATTAAGTCTTCCAGTCCATAAATGTGGGATTTTTTAAACATTTATTTGGTTCTTTTTTATTTTTATTTTTTTAAGATTTTATTTTTTTAGATAGAGGGGGAGGGAGGGAGAAAGGAGAAATATCAATGTGAGGTTGCCTCTCTCGAGCCCCCTACTGGGGACCTGGCACACAACCCAAGCATGTGCCCTGATTGGGAATCAAACCAGCAACCCTTTGGTTCTCAGGCTGGTGCCCAATCTGCCAGCCAGGGTGAGTCTTGTTAAATTTCTTTAAACAATATTTTGAAGTTTTCAGAGTACAAGTAGTATAACTTCTTTTGTTAAAGTTATTCCTAAATATTTTGTTCTTTTTGATACTATTGTGAATGGAATTGTTTTCTTAATTTCACTTTTAGATTGTTCATTGCCAGTATATGAACATACAATTGATTTTTTTTATATTGATCAACCTTGTTATTCTAACAATTTCTTAGTGCATTCCTTAGACTTTTCTATATGAAAAGTCACGTCATCTGCAAATTGAAATAGTTTTACTTCTCCCTTTCCAATGTGGATGCTTTTTATTTCTATTTTTTGCATAGC